CATCCTCCACACCCGAGAACGTTTCACACAGGAGGAGAGAGAGAGGACAGCAAGCGGGGCAAGGGCCAACACGAGGCTCCCAAGAGCCAGCAGCACGGGGAGGCGAGGGGCCATCTAATATTTTGAATAAAAATAATAAATAAATAAAAAGAAAGAGAGAGAGAGAGAGAAAGAAGAGAAAGAAAAGAAAGAAAGAAAGAAAGAAAGAAAGAAAGAAAGAAAGAAAGAAAGAAAGAAAGAAAGAAAGAAAGAAAGAAAGAAAGAAAGATTAAAAAAGAAAAATAGCCAACGGCCCGCGGCCATCAGCTGTCCTGGTGACACTACTAGAGACCCTCTTCTCTGATCTTCTAGAGAGACCTCAGCGGCGGCTATGGGGTGAAGCCTCCACTCATTTTCACCTTCGAATCAGTTGCATGTGAACAGAAAGGCAAAACTTTTCTTGGGATTATTTTGCCTTTAAAAAAAGGCATGAAAAACCTGTTACTTGGGCATAGGCAGAGGGATTTGGGGAAGAAGAAACAGATTTCCCATCCCACGCCTCTTCCCATACCTCAAAAATAAATGAAATGAAACTCTCGGGAAATTGTGGGTATGGGTGTGCTTACGAGCCTAAGGTTGAAATACAGGCGGGCGAGGCCTGCACCCTGGAAGCCCTGTCTGGGAATCTGGGAAACCCGGACTAGCGGGGTCTTGGGGGTGGGCGTGGGGAGAATGCGCAGCCCTGGCCGGCTGCCTTCCCCAAGGCCTGATGATGTCTCCAGGCCCAAAACTGCCCTGCCTGAGGCCTCAGCCTCTGCCCTCCGGTTCCATGCCCTCCTGTGACATGGACTTTGATAATTAAGGGCTTCCAAACAAGCCTTTTAATTTCCAGAAAACATATCAAGACAGTCATTTTCTTTTCACACACCACCTGGAGAAGTCTATTCAACCCAAGCACCCTGGGAATATAACTTGGGGCCATTTTGAAACCTACTTGACATCTTGCCTGTGGGCTAAAACTTGTGGGGTGTGTGTGTGTGCGTGAGACTTTCTGGAAGAAAGGAAGGCAAGAAATGGGATAAGGGGTTAGGCTTGAAACTAGGACAGCTTCTGGCCTGCACATTTCGCAGGCCACTACTTAATCCTTGCCCTTGGAGAACACTGATAGAAGACAAAATCTGACCCAGGCAAGACAAAAACTGATACAGGCAAGCCTGTTAGCCCTTTAAGGACTTGATTCTGGTCTTTCAGAAACAACCTAGTCACAAATCCACTCTCAGCTTCTGTGAAAGCCCTACTATCCCCCACCCCACACACATTAAGTTTTTGTAGTGGGAAGGTGAGGCCGAAGAGAGGGAAAAGATGGAACTATACAAACAATCCTACTTGTATCTCCTCTTTAAAATAGGTTATGTTTTATCAGATTGTGTTGTGATTTCAATATTTACAACAACAAAGCTGATTAACACAAAAAGAAAATAACAGAAAAGTGAGAGCAAAACAGGACTGATTTTCGTTTCCCTTCACAATGAGACACAGAGACCCCGAAGAGGTAAACGCCTTACTTTGTAGCCAGGAGCATGTTTTTTCTTGTCACTTGCTCATTGGGATCGGAATGTTGTCGGTTGAGAAATTCAGCTACTGCTTTGGCAGGAAATTCGGTTTCACACACGTACCCAAAGTCTCTGGCTAGGTGGACGGCTTCTCCTGGCAAGAGGTGAGAGGAGGGAGGCGAATGCAAGAGAATGTAGAGTTGGGATCAAAACTTCCTCCTAACTCCCTTATTTTCTTAAACCAGATGTTGAAGGAAACACAAAATACTTGTTTTCTCATTTCAGGCATTTTATTTCCTTCTCTGTAGGATCTGGTGGATGCAGTTACCAGGAAAAATGGCCACTTATCCTAGAAGGCCAAGATGATTTGAAAATGTAAATCCCATTCAGGCTCATCCCCCACCCTGATAACATTTTCCCAACTTCTCTTTTAAAATGTTTCTTGTATTCCAACCTCACACCTATCAGCACATTCATAAGTGGTATTCATAATTACTCCTTGAGATTTTCTGCAAGGTAACAACTAAGGGGTTACATTTTAACTTGATCGCATATAATTATCTGTTCATCCAAACCGATTAACCAAGAGGATTTGAGGGTCACTCCACTGAGTCTGTCTGTGTTGTTGATTTTCGAATCTTTGGTTTTAATTTCCTGAACCAGTTGGTTTTTACTGCAGGGCTTCCTGCCATTAGCTCCAGCTCCGGAAGAACGCATGCGCCAATTAGAGCATCAAAGCCCTCTCCGCAGAGCTTGTTTCCATAAAATGGAGCGGATCACAAACAATAACAGTTCTCCAGAAACTGCCTCCCTGCTACAGGACTCAACCCCAAAACCCATACACACTCTCGCACTGCACCCGAACCCACGACTACCATTTTCTTTGCGTATAGTTCTTTTGGAGTATGGAAAGAGCATTCTCTGTGTATTGGTATCATTTTTAATGTAACGAATATAATGCGACTGTAGATAGTTTCTGGCACTGAACAAATGCTTATGATTTGGCAGTGATATTATTGTCATCTTTGACACCATTAACAAATGGCTAATAGGATTCCTCCTCAAATGCAGGGTTTTAAACATTTTTAGTTATTTACAAAGCTAGGGGTTGAATTCAACTGTATTATATCTCCTCAAATACAAGATGTAAATAAGATAAAATGCCTTCTTTAAATATAAATGACAGTTTTTAAATATGCTGGGTAACTTAAGTGCCTTTTTTTCCTATAGCCATAAGGCATTTCCAGCAGAACACAAAGGAAAATGCAAGAGAGCTATACATTTATTCCAACACACTGAAACTTAAGCCAATTTAGTATCAGAAAAACTTAACAGAAATCTAGAGGAAGCAGGAATATGAGAAGATTCTGTTGACAGTGCATCTAGAGCAGGGAGTGAGGGCAGGGTTGGCTTTTGTTTTGAGGGGTTTGGAAGCATGTATATGTGGGTTGTTTGTATGTGTGCAGGATGCGTGCATGCGTGTGTTTAAAACTGCCAGGAGAAACTTTTTGTAATGCTTATATTTCGCTTTTCTTTTCCTATTCAAACAATTTAAAGTCTAAAATCACTCACTTTTCTTCCCCTCCAAGTAAAGAAGCACAATTAAAGGAGAGATAAGGGAGCATATGTTTGGGAAACAAAAACTAAAAGGGTATACATAACCCTGAGCTTTCAGGATGGTCTTAAATCAGGATGCAGGTCAAAGATTCCCAAATTAATTCAGGAAGTAATGGTCACGCATTTCTCAAAGGCAGATGTCAGAATACCTTAAGTGATTTACTGCTGAGCTCTATAAGGGAGACAGGAACTTGGAGAATATGCAGTTCTTAAATTTTCACATTGTTTAGGTCAGAGCTGGACTAGGGAGGTGTAATTTTGTGGCAGAGGGGAAGAGGAAAGGAGGGTAGAAATAAATGCAAATAGTTTTTTGACATGCAAGAATTCCATTCATTTCCTGCCTCATTCTCCGGAAAAAAAAAAAAAATGAAACTGCCCAACTGACACGAAATGCAACCAAACATCTGGCCACTAAGTTTTATCCGTCTTCTCAGAAGAAAGTCCCCTCTTGTTAGCAAGTAGACTCGCTTACCCTCCACTAGTGATGTGAGCAGGGTGACATTGGCGGCTTTACGTCTCCCCGCTGGCAGATTTAATCCTATTTTGTCCAGCTTCTCTCTTAAAGATCTTCCTCCATTTTTAGACTTCGCCCTGTTTCACAAATACAGGCGAGAAAGGGGTTTAGAAAACACTGGGTTGCTCTCTCTGCATCAGGTTACAGTCATTTTGACAACTTCCTGAAAATGTACTTTTAAAAATTAAGAATCACAGCCCCGAGATATTTAAAGAAGGGAAATCTAGGAAGGATTGATACAGAAAGATCACAGGAGATACAAATGCTTATCAAACTGTAAAGAATCCTCTGGGCTCAGTTATTACTGCAACTGTTGCGGCCTGTTGGAAGGTTTTGATTTCCCAACTCTCCAAAGAAGAGTCACACGCAAAAACAGCTCTCACCTCTAGGGTTTCAGGTATTTTTTAGTTCAACTGACCACTGCGTGTTTCCCCTGCTGTTACAATCACATCAATCCCAACGGGGTCTTTAAATTGTCTCTGTAAGATCTGCTGTGAGGTTGTTCAGAGTAACCAAAGTTATCATCACTCTCACGTTTCTTGCTCTGGCTTTAGCCCCAGTGGGGAATTCATTTCACCAACTGTTTACATGCCATGTCACCAGCCTAACTGGAAATGTCAAAAGCTGATGTCGGCCTTTAAAATTTTCACTGATTTCAGAGACAGTGGAGGCAGTTCTAAATAGATGTCTAAATAGACTTCCATAATCAGAAAGTGGTTAAGATAAATTGTTTAAATAAAACAGCAAATTAATTAATTTCAGATTTTATTCCCTACTCAAGTGCTCTTTAATTGTGTGGATTAGATTATACTCCCCTAGGTAAACAGTCTCCAATATTGGGGATGGGGGAAGGGGAGGAGCAGGCGGAGGGCGGATCCAGATCCGCGACAGTGAAAGATTACCACGGGCCAGCGAAGGGACGGTGAAGAAGGGAGGAAGACGAAGATAGCTGCTGTTTAAAAAAACCTTCCAAGAGCGGCTTCACAGGCCTTGTAGGGGACAGACCCATCGGAGCAGAGCTAAACGTCTCATAGGCAGGTAAATGAATATCGAAAGGATAAAGTTTTGGTCTACTTTTTTATTTAAAAAAAAAAAAAAAGGAAGACTTTATCTGGGCAAGTTCCACCCGAGACCCACCGAGCACCGGGTGGAGCCCGGGCGGGAGAAGCCGCCCCCGATACAATCTTATCTGCGAGCGGAGCGCCCCGACCTCGCAGGTGAGGCGCGCGCGGCACGTGCTCGTGCGCAGCGACTGCGCAGGACGCCCTCGAACGTGCCCTGCACGCTGCCTGGCACACAGCGGGCCGCCACGCACCACAACCGTTCACGCGAGTGCCCTGGGCACCGCGAGTCGCCGTCCGTCCAAGGGGGCAACGAACGACGGGCGTGGCGAAAGCGGCTGCCTCCTACTTAAAACCCTACCCCAGGGACGACGGGTGACCGTCGGAGGCCCTACGGGGAGGCGAGGGAAAGGGAGCAGCCCGAGAGGAAGTTTCCCACGACCCGCCAGGTGCGCGCGAGGAGG